ACAAGTTTGGGAGGATATTAGTATGGATTTCATCACGGGACTTCCAAAATCCAAAAGGTATGATGTCATTCTTGTTGTTGCTGATAGATTGACAAAATATGCCCACTTCTTAGCTTTGGCACACCCATTTACAGCAAAAGAGGTAGCTGACAGATTTGTCAATGACATTGTAAAATTGCATGGGTTTCCAAAAACCATTGTATTAGATAGAGATAGGGTGTTTGTTAGCCAGTTTTGGAAAGAATTGTTTAAGCAAGCCGGCACTCAACTTTGTCTTAGCTCCGCTTACCACCCAGAATCTGATGGCCAAACAGAAGTTTTAAATCAGGGCTTGGAAACTTATTTGCATTGCTTCACCAATGAGAAACCAACTCAATGGGTGCAATGGTTGCCTTAGGCAGAGTATGGGTACAACACCTCTCATCATGGAGCTGCCGGCATGACAACTTTTAAAGCGGTGTATGGGAGAGACCCTCCTACTTTCTTTAAAATGAATGATGAACCATCAGGTATTAAAGCTGTCAACGAACAGATTCATTCCCGCAATTGCATTATTGCCATCTTAAAGGACAACTTCACTTTGGCACAAGAAAGAATGAAGGAGCAAGCAAACAAACACAGAAGAGATGTGCAGCTGGACATTGGTGATTTGGTTTATGTCAAGCTCAGACCCTACAGGTTGAGATCCTTAGCTAAAAGGCTTAATGAGAAGCTTAGCCCGCGTTTCTATGGACCATTTAAAGTCATAGAGCAAGTCGGGAAAGTTGCATACAAGCTGGAACTCCCTCCTACAGCTCGCATACATCCAGTTTTCCACATTTCTCAACTCAAAAAATCAGTTTGTTCGGTTATTGTCACTCCCACAATACCACCAGCCCTTTCTGCAGAATTAGAGTTACAGGTGCAACCTCAAGACATATGCAAAGTTTGGAAGCTTATGACAGGCCAGCTGGAGGTTTTAGTGAAATGGAAAGACTTGCCTGAGTTTGAGAACTCATGGGAGACAGCTGACACCATCTCCCAACAATTTCCAGATTTCCCCCTTGAGGATAAGGTGAAACTCTTAGAGGAGGGTAATGATGTAACCTTGAGATATGGTCAGACTTACAAGAGGAGATCTAGGGGGCAGGTGGGTGGAGAAAAGAAATACCCAATGGATCAAAGTTAATATCCTTTGGGTCCAGAAATTAAGGATTAAGTCATTATGTATGGTAAGGTGGCTTAGATTCAGTCTAGATATGTGGGTCACCTTTTTGCTTTCTTATTTTGTCGTGCTGTTTTGGGGAGCACTCAAGAATGTTGTGAGAAGCTAGTCAGAAGGAAGGAGAGTGCTGGTCTCTCAAACACCAGTGAGAGGCTGTGTTCTTATTGCTGTGTTATTTCTTTTGTTGTAATTTTCATCCATAGGGAATAGGGTTTTGGCCAGAATCAGTAAGCTTCTCTTTTGTAGCATTGATTCGGTTTCCAAGTCTTAATATCAAAAACCTCAGAATTTCCCTCATTTATTTCCTTCTTGCATTTAAGTTCTGTTGAAAGTAATTAATATAGAGCAGAGCTCTATCAAATGCATTCCAACGTTTATTACATTAAAAACGTTTGAACCCTGAATCTCACTCTCACCCCACCTGTGTCCCCCAGTCACATGAACTCGGCATGTGATGCATGTTATTCACTTGGGATACATTGAAAAATAGTGGGGCATTAAAATTGCTTCAAATGTTGTGTCTTATGCATGAGATAAATGTGCGAAGGCTGATGAATTATAATCTGGTGTGAAGTTTTTTATTTGCACCATTTTTTTTAATTTTAAAATTATTGTTATTTTGAATTATTCAGTTTTGTTAAACATTTAGTGCAAGGATTGTTGTGCACCGCAAGTAATTGTGGCAGAACTGGTGTCTATTGTTCATTATAGTTTATTATTACAATCCAGAGCTTGGAGCTTAGGTTGAACTTCAAGCATTTGGTTGGACATTAAGTTTCTGTATTATTGCAATGTACAAGATCATGAAGGATCCATTTCTTATCTGATTATGGAGGCTGAAATCTTAGTTAATTTGGGTTGTGTGCAGTGGTTCTGATGATATGTGTCACGAAAGTTGCCAAGTCTGCGTTAGATAAAGCATTAGCTGAAAATGAAGATATAGAAGGTATCACAGTTTCATGCCCAGGGTTACCAGTTGTTTCAGAATCTCCAGTAGATCTTAACCAGCCCCTTATAATCAAAGTAGAACCTCCTGAAGGAGACAGTCATGAACAGTAAAACCCCTTTGTTCTGTAAATTCTTTCCCTTCCTTCTTAAAGCTAATGCTTTCCACAGAGATGTGTAAGCTGTAACTGCTTGCTCCTACTTATTTGTGACTTGTACAGTGATTAACGAGGAGTAGAATTTTTAGTTTTTGAATGATGGCTAATCCTACAGTCATGATCAGATTCCTGAATGGGGTAGGTTTTTTCTCTCTTGACGGCAGAGAAGTTTATGTGAACGATTCCTGATTCTCTTGATGTTTCCATTCTTTATGTTTCCCGCCTCATGGTCTAACTTGACATCACTTCTCTTATTTCAATTGTCTGACACTAGTTGGAATCTATTGCAACCGAGATTAAATCTCATAAAAATTTGAACTTTCGTTCCAAATTTCATCTAACACATTACTTTCGTTTGTCAATTTCTTGTACAGTTCTTTATTTTATTTTATTTTTCCATAAACTTATATCAGCCTGTAAAAGGATAGACCTTTTTTGATTGTTTTTCCTTAATTATTTTATAACCTACATAAATTAGCAATGCAATCAATATAGGCAACTATCAAACACAGTTATTATTCAGATTTTGCGAAATGCAGGTTCACATGTTAAAACAAAAGGTTTAGTTGAAATTTAGATATTTACAAGTAATAGTTTATATATTCCCAAGCATAAGTTCAAAAGAAACAAACACTAGATCAAAGGAAAAGCTGAAGGATAATGGGTGGGCAAATGCAAAGTGATGATGCAAATTGTTTAGAATGATAATGGAGAAAGAAAATTTCATGCCTAACTAAAGAAGCTGCAAGAGCCAAAATCGAAGGAAAGGATAAGAAGCAGGTGGGGATGGAAGAGGTTTAGCATTATCTCACGACGATGCTGAATGGGGCAACGATGGCAGCAAAGAAAGGGTTTACAATGTGGATCTAGGTGGTGGCAAATGCGATCACGGTGGCCAGTGATCCACCACGGTGAAGACAACTTGAGAATGGAGAAAGATGTAACAATAGGTTAGAGGAATGGCGGAAGGGAGAAGAGCGAAGGTGAGTAAGGTGAAGGACAACTAGACAACCACAATTCGCAGTAATGCTAGCGAGATCTCGACAAGCAAGAAATGGGGGAATCGAAAGCGGTGGCTAAGAGGTGCTTAGGGTTGAATCAATTCAGCCTAGGAGTAATTCTATCATTTCATGACAAAATTTAATTGCACATGGGACTTTTGAGCTTGCAGAATCAATTTGGATTCCATTGGATCTTAGTTGCGGTATTGTTTTTGGTTCTAAAGGCCTTTGGTGCAATTCTCCCTCCCTTTTACTACATAATGTTGTCATGAGATAGACGGTCTCATTTTGTTTTGAACATCAAAACCAACTTCGAGTTATTTGTCTTGAATTGTAAACAAGGTTGGATAACAATAGAGTTAGCTATCTGCTTATCCCAAGGTAAACAAGTTGCCAGCTTGTCAAGCAGAGCATACATATTTGCATTAGTTAATTAGAAAAATTACATGTAAGTCTCATACAATAATACAATACATTTAAATATCACAAGATCCATTGACAATTGCTCAGTTATCAATAGACCTTGTGATATTTAAATGTGTTGTTTGGGGCTTTAAAGTAATTCTCTATTAATTATTTGCTAAAATGTTCTATAACTTGAGCTTGATAAAATGCTTGATTTATTTAATTTTAAGATTCAGATTCTCACTATTTAAAAATGGAAAATAAATTTATTTTAATATTTATTGTTCTGTCTATCAAAATGATTCGGATTTTTTAACTACATTTTCAAAAAAATATTATTAATTAGAATCTATTAAACAATCCGAATGACTTCCATTTTCTTGCTGAAGTAGTTATTAGTGATATGTACTTTGTTCAAGTTATATTAATAACAGATTTTACATACTTTTCATCAAATAAAAAATTATAAACATGATTTAATAATGTTTTTTAATTTATTTTATACGTAAAAGAAATACAATACTAAATTCACCATGGTGATTGCAAGGGAATACGGCATTAAGATTGGTCATGGCGAAAAGATATTAACCCAACGAGTTCAAGAATACTTTCCAACCGCAGTAATTAAAAAAATATTAAGATATTTAGCAAGAATGCTATTTTTTTGACCAACAAGCAAGAATGTTATTTAGACTTCATTACTGCGTTAAAGTTTTAATTTTAAAAAACTGGAACCAATGAACCCTCAACCCCGCAGCAGCTAACAGTAACCGCCATGTCTACGTCGATCTGTTGGATCAAAGTTCGAACTATCATTGTCATGGTGATTGGTGCATCCACTGAACGAGTGCTAGTGAAAGTGTAGTGTAGTCCAGTATCTTGAGGAGCTCAAAGCATAGCCATTAAACCAAACGAAAAAAAAAAAAAAGGCATTTACTGATGGACAGGAAGATTATATGCTTTGAAACTTGGATTAAATGAAAAGTAAACCCCCACTCCATTTGATCTTAAAAAAAGGTGAAGCAGCACCATATGGTGTCCATGATGAAATCTTTGAATGTGCGTTGTGTGGGTGGTGCCAATATCCCTCTTTTTCCTTCCCAAAAGAAACAAAGTAAAAGTCACCCTCTTGCATTTTTTTTTCTTCTCTTTGCTAACCTTGCCCCCCGTCTTCTTGTGTTGAATTTTTGGGCTCTTGGGACCCCACTATTTCCTTGATAGAAGGGCTGACCATTATTCTATCACAGTGGGTCTTCATATCTTCTTGTCTGATCTATTATGATCGTAGCCACAGGAATCACTTACCAGCTTCTTCCAAAACTCCAATGCGTGTGCCTGCCCACATGCTATGCTACCCCCTCCATTTTAAAACAAAAGAAAGGCCTCAACTTTATTCCATAAATGAAGCTTGAATAGTACAAAAGGCAAACCGGTCGGTTAGAGGGTGGAAGGAAACTTAAGAGATGACCAAGAAGCAGCAGATCAAGTCTCTGATGGGGAAAGTGCAAGGAATGAGGCTTCTGTCTCTTGGAGGTTGTTTTGATAGCTGCAGAGACCACTCTCAAGCTTCTGGGCTTGGAACGAGGATATGGAATCTCAGTGATAGGCCAGTGGAGCTGCAAATAAGGGTCGGGTCGATACTGAAGAAGTTTCACACGGTCAAGCCAGGATGCTCCAAGAGATTGAAATGCAAAAGCATATACAAGGCATACATGCCTGGCACGAGTAGCAGCAATGGCGATGGTGGCGTGGTGGGGATGAAGAGCTTGCTCTATTACTATGACGAGACTTGCCATCCTTATATATGGATTTCAGACACAGGCGGTGATTCTTTGAGGATGGTGAAGCAGCAGTATGTTAGCCTTGAGGATCTGAGAGACTCTTCAGAGATCAGAATCTTCAGGGATCATCAGAGAGGTTGCATTTCTGTTCGCAAGAGACCAAGGCCTGATTTCTGCTGAATTCAGTTTCATTCATTCATCACCTTTCATGTTAATTTGCCTGCTGCTCTGTATCCTTAGTTTCTGAGATCCTCTTGTTCTCTCTTTTATCAGTGTGCGTAAGTAATTGCAGGCTGCAATGATCTGTGATATATATGACTGTTTAATTTTGTATTTGTTTGGGAATGGAGTGATGTTACAGATGCAGGGAGCTATTAGCTGTAATTGACGACCGACACTTTTTAATATTGTTTAATGCAATTCAATCTTAATGGATATTTTCTCATTGAAAGCTCAAAGCAATCACATATAAGATGTTTTAGTTTCACTGGTTTTTTTGGGCCCCAACAGTCAAGGCAATCCATTGACCCCACCCTCCCCAGATTGAACGGAAATAAATTAAAAAAAAGGAATTGGAAATTAAGATTTATTTGCAGATATTTGATTCTCCCTTGTTTGGGCGTGTATATTCATGAATTGTTGGTGGTGGCAGTGATGATGATAATTCCATGTTTGTTTATCCTCGTAACAAGGATCACGGAGGCTAAGAGGAGAAATGATGAGAGGGAAATAGGTTGACACTGATGTCGAATAACATACCGATGGAGAGAACATAATAGAAGTAATACATTTTATTGTGTAATTATCATGGCGACATTGATAGTTTATCAAAATCAGGAGAAGCAGCCAATGGGGCTAGGCCTATAGGCCGCAAGCCCACTGAGCCAAAAAAATGATTGGGACCAATCCAACATTTTTGAATTAGCTTCAACACTGATTTCCGAAAACCGGAGTGTCCAGAGTCCAGACGCTGCAGTGATGAGCTTAAGCATCGACTTCATTGCGTTTAATACCCGCAGTAATGCTTACGAAGCTGAGGAATGGTCTCTCTTATGAGGGCTCACGTTGAATCTGATTGTGGACAATTGTTGGAAGATATTAAGGCCACGATTGAGGTGCTGTCAACTACGAAGGGTTCTTCAATTCAGATGTATATTATACAGTTGCTTCAGCGTCGATGGAAGATACAACCACAACATGTATCTCGTGAGGCGAATCAGTTGCTGATGGCTTGACACACAACGGAATCAAATACTCTCTGCTTTTCACGAATCCTTTCTTGGTTTTGTCTTCAAGGAAATAAACCCTAATCATCATTGTTTTGTTTTGTTTTTTGGTTGTATAACTCATCTATGATTGTTTACACACTATTTATCCAACTGCAGCCCGTGAATTTTATCGATTTCCTTCTCCTCAACATTTTCTTCACCCTCTCAACCTTTCCCCATTCACCAGCATCAGCGTATAAGCTTGATAATAGAAGACGATTCCCAGCACTCTCAGGCTCTAATTCCAGCAAATGCTTGGCTGCCACTTCTGCCAGATTCTCGTGTCCATGATTCCTACAAGCTGCCAGTAGGGCACCCCACACAAATAAATCAGGTTCAGTGGGCATTGTCTTGATCATAGCATACGCTTCATCAAGTTGTCCTGCTCGACCTAGAAGATCTACCATGCATGCATAATGCTCAAGCCGTGGATCAATCTTGTATTTTTCTTGCATGGTCTTGAACAAACTCTGCCCGAGTTCAATATCTCCCGCGTGGCAGCACGCAGTCAGAGCTGATGTGAAAGTTAGATGATCAAGCTTGCCTCCGCCTTCTGCTTCTCTGAACAACTCGATGGCCTTATCACAGTACCCATGATTTGCATAACCAAAAATCATTGAGTTCAACGTAACCGTGTTCTTCACATGCATATGATGAAATATGGTCTTTGCCTCATATATGAACCCACATTTTGCATACATATCAACAAGTGCACTCCTTACATATATATCTTCTCCTACACCAATCACAAGCGCGTAGCTGTGAAGCTCCTTTCCACGTCTCACTTTCGCCGCAGTAGCACATGCAGGTAGAAGAATGCTAATAGTAGCCGAAGTTGGGCAGAGTCCAAGGTCCACCATCTGTTTAAACGTATGAAACGCCTCCTCATGTCGAAAATTCTGCACAAAGCCAGATATTAAAGAGGTCCATGTTATCACATCAGGCTCAAAACCATTAGCGGTCATCATTCTGAAAAGCCCCGACACCTTTGCTTGGTCGCCTTCTTTTGCAAATCCAGCGATCAATGTATTCCAAGTTATCACATTTGGCTTCATACCCAACATTCTCATGCTTTCCACCAAAATCAGTGCTTCCTTCGCAAGCCCTTGTTGTGCGTAGCCAGATACAGTAGCATTCAGAGCCACTAAATCTTTCTCTAACATCCCGTCGAACATTTTCCGCGCTTCTTCAACTCTGGCGCATTTTGAATACATATCAATCAAAGCAGTACTTACGAAAGCATCGAGCTCGAACGAACATTTCAAAATCACGCCATGTATTTTCTCTCCGGTCTTGAGATCACACAGGTGCCCGCAAGCTTTGAGAACGCTAGGTATCACGAATACGTTGGGTTTCAGCCCTTCCGTTTGCATTTCAGAGAACACGCTCAGGGCCTCCTTATGGAAGCCACAGCGAGCAAAGGTTCCAATAAGAGCGATCCAACGTCGAACGTTGGTTGCCGGAATTTTTTCGAACAACTTGCGTGCAAGGGACGGTGTCCCGCACTCGGTGTACAACGCTATGAGCTTTGATGCAATGACTGTAGAACGAGCGAAACCGTTGATGACTAGGTGTGCATGAAGTTTCTTGCCTGAGTGCAGAGCTCGATCACGAGCGTAAATGTCAATTACTTGGGCATAGACATTAGCTTCTATTGGAAGCATCGACATCTGCTGGTATCGAACCTTATCCGAGGAATCCTAGCAAACGGAATGATGCACTTTCGATGAGAGTGTGCATGGTATTAGTATATAGATGCTGTCTTCTAAGAACCTGGCTGCGTGCGCATTGTCGGATCCATTCAACGGACATGTTTGCGCCAGGATAAGAGCAGCTTCGGTGGAAATTGCAGCCTAACGATTTCCGGAAACTTGATCAACATGTATGGATTTGCTCTGCCTCTAACCGGAAACAATTTCCCTTACATGCATATAAGCGCAAGACTTTACCTTTCCGAAAATCTGAAGCTGGAGAAATTGGGGGTTCTTGCTTTAGAAGTTTGGACGAACACTGAGAACCTCAAGAAAAAATAGAGACCGAAGTGTAGAGTGAGGCGAAATCTGCGAGCACAAGCCTTCACCGTTTCAAGAAATCGGAGTAGGAGGAATGAATCGAGTGCTGTCGTTTCAAATGTCTGAATGGACTGGACGTACGCTGCACATAGCAGAGAGATCGAGCCACCAAGGTTTTTAATTTAAACATTGAGGGACAATTTAGTCCGTGCAAGTTGGGAAAATACAACTTTTACATCTATATTTTTGACGTGTTTTGAAATAAGTCTAATGCTTTTAGAGTAAAAGTGTAAATTTACTTTTAAATTTTTTTTTTACAAACACCTAATATCTAAAACTTTTGTTAGGGGTAATATTGTTTCAAAACTTTTAAAAATAATATAAATATATAATATTACTTTATTATCAGAATTGATCATTTTATTTAAATAAACTTGTTATGTGGCGTTTTTAAAAAATAAAAAATGATAAAGATATAAATTTATTCTGAAACTTTTTCTACAGGAGCTTTTAGTATCCCCAACTTTTTTTTTTAGTAATGTTGCTTTGAAACTTTTCAAAACAGTGCAATATTACTCTGCTGTCGAAGTTGATCATTTTGTTTAACTTCACTTACCAAGTGGTACTCATGTGACATTTAAAAAAAATTTTAAAAATGTCATCCCCTCCCTTCTGTGTCTCAGTTGTATATCACTCTCCCTCCTTCATAGTCAGCCATTCTTTTTGTTTTCATTCCTCCCTCCTCCACCATCAACATTTTTCATTCCTCCTTCCTCCACCATCGACATTTGAAAGATAAGAGCTAAATGAGATGCCTCATAATCGTCACCCACTGAATTATTACTTCTTTCTATTTGGCGTTGGACAATCTAAGTTGTTAATTTTTTGTTCTCATTTTTTGAATATTTTGAGCTATTTTTAAATTGTTAGGTTCTTGAATTGTGTTTTTTATTTTCTTTTTCTCTACCTCCTATCTTTGATTTTTTTTTATTGTTTTTCGATGTTAAAAATTTGAGTTTAATTTTTCATCTTAGTATTTTGAGTTATTTTACATTTTTAATATTGTAGATGAAAAAAAAAAGAAGCAAATGAGGACAAAGTATTGTTTTATTTTTTTTAGTTTTTAAAAAAATGACACATGGCAAGTGAAATCAAACAAAGCGATCAACTCTTATAAGAGGGCAATATTGCTTTAAAAACAAAAGTTCAGGATACTAAGCACTCTTTGAGAAAAGTTTCAAGATAAATTTATACTTTTATCATTTTTAAATTTTTAAAAAATGCCACGTGACTATCATGTGGCAAGTCCAATTAAACAAAACAGTCAACTGTAATGGTAGAGCAACATTGTACTATTTTTAAGAGTTTTGGGACAACATTACTCCTAAAAAAGTTTAAAATATCAAGCACCCTTGAAGAAAAAATTCAAGAGTAAATTTGTACCTCTACTCATACTTTTATTTTGTTATTTTTTAAGTTTTACTATATATTTGTAATATTAATCTTGATCATCACCAGTGAAGTTAAATCTGTTTATGCATATATAATTTTATTTATTTTTTTTGATGAGTTGATAAAATTATAATGAATTAAAATTGCATAAATAAATTGATTATTAATTTGTCTGCTCTGGTTATGTATTTACTTCTTTCTAAAATCTTCATCCATTGCATGTTTAAAGATTTTAATTTAATATCTTATTTTTTGTCTTTTATTCATTTTTTTATATAATTTATTATAATTTTAACGAGTGAATACGAGAAGTACAGAGTTCATACATATACTAGTTACAAATCCTTTCATATTTTAAAAATATAAGAATTAATGTTACAAAAAATAAAACTTATGAGATTTAAAACAATAAAATAAAAATATAGCTAAAAATATATAAATCAAAAGTTATATAAAATAATGACATTCAAATATTTCTCACACTATGATTAGAAGGAAGGAAAGAGGAAGAATTTTAATAAATGAAACAAGAAAAAGGGTGGGGGGGGATTACAGCCAGTTGGTCTTCCGTGAAAATCTAGGTCTTGGGAGTGCAGAAAGCAAAACAGAATTATCTTGGAGGAGGGGAAAAAAATAGAGAAAATAATTGTTATTTACTCTGCCGGATCTTATTAAGAAGACATTTTTTAATTTTTTTTGTCTAAAATGTAAAACTTGTTGTAATAATTAAATTATTTTTAAAATTTTATCATTTCTTAATTAATATAAAAATATTTAATATAATTATATTTTTACTTAAAAATAAAAGTACATAGTTTTGTTTAAGATTAAGTGAAATGGTTAAAAGTCTTTTGTAATGAAGGGGGAAAAAAGTACTATTTTGAAAAGTTGAGTTTTCATCGAGAAGAGGAGACGCGTATTATGATGGATGAAAAGTCTCATGATATGACTTTTGGGTTCCCGGTCAGCCCAGAAACCCCACGGCCCACGATAAAGACTTCAAGAGGATCATCCAAATTCGAGTCATTGGTTTAATGCCACCAAGGCACCAACAGATCACGGGAAATTCCGTAAGATTAATTGAAAAAAAAAAAAAAACAACAACAACAGTGTTTCCATTTGTAACTTCAATTCTCTCATAAAAATTTAGATTTTTATAAAGTTAAATCTGTTTGAACAATTAAATTAAAAATTAAAAATTAAAAATTAAAAAGTTGACATTAAAATTTCGGACCAGAGGAGAAAAAAATTGTCCCCGGCCATTTATGGATTAATTCCTTCAACTGCACTTCACCAAAAATTGCTTTTCTCTCATCTTCCGTCAACCATACTCTTCGCAGTCCCCGGAAGCTTTGAACTTTCCTGTTCTCTGATTTTCACTCTGTCTCTCTGTCGATCCTGCAACTGAAATGGGAAATTTGTGGAGTAGCAGAAGAAGAAACAACTATTTTCCCCCACCCCCTCCCCCTCATCTACCACCTCCTTATTATTATTCTGCAGAATCCCATCTTCCTGCCCCTCCTCCCCTGCCACCTCAACCGCAAGGCTATTATCTGACCAATTCTTACGTCAATACTCCTCCTCTGCCTCCGCCGCCACCTCCGCCGTCTCATCCTCACACCCATTCATTCAGTTACTCAAATGGCCATAACTATTGCCCCAACTATGGCAATTCTGTGACGGGTCGTTTTCAATACCAACCTTATTATGTAAATCAGGGTACTGGTGGGTGGCCTCCGATTCGTCCTCCTCTTGCTCCCGCCAATCCCCCACCTCCCTATGTCGATCACCAAACCGCTAAGAAGGTCAAAAATGATGTCAATGTGCATAAAGATACCTTGCGGCTTGAGTTGGATGAGCACAACCCTGACCAGCACCTGGTTTCTTTTGTTTTCGATGCCTTATATGATGGAAGGTATGAAATCCCCCACTTTCTCCCCTTTCATTTCTGAAGAGCTAAATTCGCTTGACTGCCAATTTAGTACTGCTTCTTTTAGAGTCATAGATGAGAATAGTTGGGTATGAGGCGATTTATATGAATTTTGCATTTGGTGATGATTGAAATGTCGACGGCTTCTCGTTCCACTCAAATGGGAGAAGGTTGGGACGAAATTTTTAGCAGAATATATATTAAAACTCATGTTTCTGCATGCAAATACATTTTCTTAACTTCAGGGGCGGTCTAAATTTATCAACAAACAACGCCTATTTTTGAGGGCTCTTCTTTCTTTATAGTAATAGTATTCTTATGTGTTTTTTTTGGTTCAACACGTATATTATGTTTATATTTGTATATTTGTGTAAAGGAAAGGAAATATACGAAACCAATGTATAGAAAATTTCAAGTTTCCTTACGCAGTATATTGTAACTGTTATGGAGTACAAATTCTTGCTTGTGGAATTGCAACATATAGTTTGGTAGATATTTAATTTGCATAAAGAATCAAGTCATTCTCATTTCTCAATGATGAAAGAGGCACACTGAGAAAGGGCCAGTAACTAGGAGAGAAGAAATTGAATAAACGTTCATACTACTGTAGGCTATTTGTCAGAGTATATTTCAATTATAGCAAACAGCGATTGCTGGATTGTTTGAACTCCCAGTCATTTTACTCTTGATGTTCATACTTCATGTTACTTTTTCTCCTCTTTCCACCATATATTATTATGGCCAAAGTGGTGCAAATATACATAAAATATTACTTGAAGGGAGTCTAGATGGGATGCAGTTTCTGCAAGAGTCATGATATAGAGGACATCTTTCTCATTTTGTTTGAGAAAGTCTTAGTGGTTATTTTGTTACAAATAGCATGAAACTGGCATTCGAAATGCAAATTACATTTATGATGCCATAATTGAGACTAGTTTTGTATATTTTGGGAGCCCAGGTGGGGGCAGGTAATTATGGAATAATATTGGTATGAACTTGGTAGAGACAAGTTTATATTTGACTAGCATGAGTCAAAGTTCACAGCTTGGACTAACTTGTTCCATAATCTATTAACATTGTGCACTTGCATTTGTTCACCTTTGCTTTCTGTGCTAACATTTACTTGGGCTGTTGATTATTTGTTAATATTAAGCATTTTTGAGGAATTCCTTTAAATTTTGCCATTTTTGGCATGCATTATGTAACCGCGGCCAATAAAATTCTGGTTTGCTGTTGCTTGCCTGGGTCTAGTTTCTTAGTTCAGTCTTGTGGAGCAATAACTTGTTTAGCCTCATTATGTTACTCACATATAAAGAGGCCTGCCCTATCATAATCTGATTTTGTGAGCACATGAAAATGGTATGTAAAACTGTTCCTTTTTCTCTGCAATGTACCATATCTGATTTCCAGATATGTATGAAAGTTATAGGCTGTTAGTTGGACAGCTTGCTTCTTGCATAAGCTGCCTCAGCTGTAGCAAACATTTATGATTCAGCATTATTAAATATATGCATATTTAATTACTATTTCCTCACCTGTGAGAATGATGTCACTGACTGACGCCATACTCTCCTATGACTACTTTTCATTAGCATTGCAGGCTACAACTATAGTGGTTGCATTTAATTAATAATCATATTTTTAGAAAGGTAGAAGGCAAAAAATTGTTTTCTCTTCATTGCTGAAGTCCAAAGTTGGGATGTTGGCAAGCAACTTATATATACTAGCAACAATGCCATTGCATTGGCTCACAGTTATTTACGCTCCTAAATCTTTGTTTAGCATGGTCTCATGATGAGTAATTTCATTTTGAGCATGACAATCAAGTTTACATGTACTAACCTATTCCACTAAATTCAAACACAAGCCATCATTTATTGGTATAGATTTGATTTAGTTTGATTCATTTATTATGTGGATTCATTGCTATAAAAATAATATTTGAAGCTTGAGTTTTCTTACATCTGACATCATTATTCGTTGTATTTCCAATTGGCAGCATTTCTATAATCTACTTTGCCAAGGAAGTAGAAACATGCAAGTTCAGTCCAACGATTCCTGAAATTGAGCCGGTCAGAATCCCTTTTCAGAAAGGAGCTGGACAAAAGTTTTGTCAGCCTTCAGGAACTGGCATTGACTTAGGTTTCTTTGAGTTGGATGTTCTCTCAAAACCCTCACAAGAGGATGTCTTTCCCCTTGTGGTATGTGCTGAAACATATTCGAGAACTCCTCCAGCAGATGAAAACTTAGGAGATTTTATGGCTGATATATCACCTAACAAGCAGATTACTCAAGCTGTTATAGAGAAAAGCAATGGTAGTGATTGTTTCCAGGTAAAAGTAATTAGGCAGATTTTGTGGATTGATGGTGCCCGTTATGAATTAAGAGAGATCTATGGAATTGGAAGCTCATCTGCAGCAGATTTCAATGACAATGATCCTGAGAAGGAGGAGTGTGTGATATGCATGACTGAACCAAAGGACACTGCTGTCTTACCTTGTCGTCATATGGTAAGATTTTATACTAACAAAAAAGCAAAAAAAATAGCCAGAACCTTTGCCACTGTGGATCTGAATATGATAGTTCAGATGACTCAATTAATGGACTCTAGGGCTTTAATTATTCATAAATTTGTGGACTTTAGTTCACTTTATCTTTTTTTTTTTTTTTGGGTTAATGCATGGCTGCCATCCTGCCTGCATTGTCTTTTTTGGTTGTAAAGTGAACTTTACAATTTGGCATATGGCTTCACAACTTTAGTAGTGCAGTTTCGATGTTTTTTATGTTTATTATTTTGGAATTGTTCATTCATTTGTCAGGTGTTGTCAGAATAGTTTTATTTATTCATTCTCTAGGGCCTTATATTTTATGACTTAGCTATACTCAGTCCAGCACTCTTCTAGCGCCTCTTGCTTCTAGGTGCTAGGGGATCTAGCTTTTTGGCATTTGACTATCTTGTTTGTTTTAATATAAGATGATGGCCTTTGACTTCTACTCATAATTCTGTGGATTATATCTATCATCATTGTTATCTGAAAGGGGTATTTCCAATTGAGCATTTAACAGCACCATTAACTGGTTAGTCAAAGTTGCTTCTTATATGTGAATCGATTGCCTGCTTTTCCTTATGTTAATTTACTTGGGCTTTCCTTTCTCTTCTCTTGCCACCTTTTAGTAGAATATGGTTCTTAAGTTCTCCGCTTATTGAATATCTTACATGTAAGTACCATGTAAAACAATATAACAGAATATTATACACCATGCGTTAGCTTTAATTTGTATTGTGAAGAAGATATCTAGTACCTTTGTTTCTTTGTCACTAGGGAAATGCATGAATTGCTTGATTGAGATCCTTAGAGGTGCTGTCATTTTACACCAAAATGCTGGGGAGATTTTATTGTTTTGTACTTAACATTGAGTTCATTTGCGGCTCCCATTATTCTCACGTTGAATCTGTTGTATTTTCCAGTGTATGTGCAGTGAGTGTGCCAAAGCTTTGAGGCTTCAATCGAATAAATGCCCTATATGCCGTCAATCCATTGAGGAACTTATAGAGATCAAGATAAATAATGGTAACTAATGAAATTGTTCCTCCTGATGCTAAGTCAAATCGCATGATATTGCCATCAAACTCCTGCAGTCAGGTGATATTATGTCACTGATTTTATATATGCGTTGTTTTTCTTTTTCTGTAAATTTCAGTTAATAATCTTTGTTCTGTAGTTCTTATCTAATCTGTTGAAAGGAACAATCACCACGAGGTTTTTCCTGGCAGTGAACTATATTTTGGTTCTTTCTATATGGTACAGGTGATATATGTTTTCTTAGTTTTTGTCCAAGTGATATTTGACGGAAGATTACCTGTCAAGTGTTTGCAATAGATAAAGGGAAAAGGCCACCTTGTTTGATATCTGAAACCTTCTGTGTATCTTGGGTGTACGGATTCCTTCCTGATAAACCTCGTTGAAAACCATAAAAACTTGAACAGATAAATCTGCGATAGTGTTCAATATGCTTTTCCTTTATCCTATTTATACTTTTTTGGGTTAAAAATGTACTCAGCCATCTTGGCTGGAATGCTTGGTTTATTCTGACGAATGTGATTTATAAAGAGAGAGACAAGATTTTAAATGTTTTCTTTTGTGTTTGCCCCTCTCTTTTTCTTGTTTCTGCTCACGAGGGGCTCATCTTTCAATACAAGGTAGCATTGCTGTTAGGACAATTTAGAGGATTCCCCCCCCCCCCAAAAAAAAAACCCCAAAAACAGCAAAATTTTTCAGAGCATTTCCTATAATGGCTCTCGCAGTTTCATTTGTTACTGGGGTTAGTTACAAAACATTCTTCTTTCAGATTGGTCACCCATACATACACGATACCTAACTAATATTGGCTAACCTGAGTGTTTAGAACTCTTGTTGCATGACGAATAGTGTTACTATTGAGCAGTCTAAACTGTGAAGCAACTGCATATTTTCCGTGCACGAGTTTGAATGGAAATCCTATCATTCTTGGATGTTTCTAATTCGAACCCTACCTCTACTTCACCCTAAATAACCCAAATTAGATGATGCTGACGTGAGGCTTTACTATTATGACCCTATTAACACTAGGTGGTGGTGTTTGGCAGGGAGTGGAAAAAGAGAGGAAAAATGTAAGAGGAATGAGTTCTGCACTGGTATTAGGTCAATGATGCAGGCCCTAGATGTATTTTTCAGCTCTAAAAGGTGATTGAGGAAGTTGTGATGGGAAGAAACATCGTTTAGAAAAGATGCTGAATTATTGAAGTAATCTTTATGCGGAAGAAAATTTAATAATGCAAGGACTGAAGCCAATGAATGAAAATGGAGACAGGTATGTTTTTACTCTGGCTAATGGAATCGGATACCCTCCCCATCACTGGACCTATTGATGGTACTCGGCGTATTAAGCTTACAGATACAGTTGGCATGGTACAAGCTCATTGGCGGGTGGAGCCAAAGATGGGGCACATGACATGGCATATGGGTCATCGAGTTTGTCCCTAGAAAAAGAACGAAAAAGGTTTAAACCCAAAAAACTGGGTAAGGCAGCCATACGATCCCCCACCTCATAGAACTTTGCAAATCTCAAGACACCGACCGACTCATTTCTCTTTTGGTATCTTTCTACACACGAAGGTAAAAAGAAAATGGCAAAGACAGGGTTTCCTCGTGATTCAATAGGGGCGCTTTCTGATATTCATCTCTTCTGCGCAAAATCTGCTGACTTTGCTTCTTCGCCATATGGCTGTTCGAAAAGCAGGAAAGAAATAATGAAGAGTATTCATTGAGTAGATAAATATTAAAAAAAAAATAAACTTTTCATTGAAGTGGAGTGTGGTCGTAATCAAAATTCAATTATTAATTTCCCGTAACAAGCTAAAATCCAGGTCTTTTAAAAAAGAGATGGAGCAGAGGGCATGTGTGGATGCCGTTTCAGCTGTACTCTTGTGGTTGAGGCCTCACTGAATAGTTCTTTCCTTTCCTCCTCAATGTACCAAAACACCATGTGAGCCCCCCTCAACGTTTGTGGCAATGCCATTTGAATTTTGATGCCTCTTTCTCCTCATAAGAATCACACTCAATTTCTGTAAAAACCAGGTCCCAAGTTTGTCTGCCCTTCTTCGCCTCACAAAAATTTTACTCTCTTGTAAATTCCGTAATATCATGCGTAATTAATTAGAAAAGTCTCTTCCATAATCAAAAAGAAAAAGAAAAGAAAACGAAAAGTCTCATCATATATCTAATGTTCAGCTTTTGTCCAACATAAGCACACTATTTATTTATCGAGTCTACCCCGTACTCCATGCCCGCAAGGCATGAAGGATTTAGAGTTCAACAGATAAAGATTGTGGATGTATAGTTCATCTAAACCAAGGTGTAACAGAAGCTCCAGGCATGTCAAGTCTATTTAAGTAGAACAAGGGCAAGAAAGACCAAGTGGTTGTAGTTTGTTCATGTTTGAAATAAAAGGGTCAAAACCGGAAGGGAGCCCTTAAAGGAGGCTCCAAAACTGAAGTTGAACATTTCATGAAGGTCGGGGAAACAGGCATGGAACGTGATTCCTCATTCCTCAATTGAGTGGGGGAAAGGGCCAGTTTTTGGGTTGCTTTCTTCTACCTAATGTCTTGATTCATGAAACAAGGGGTTTGTTATTACCATTATAGTTGCAAATATTTCCTTGAAATGTCAAATAATGTGAATGTAGCAGCAATTCGTTATTCCTTTCACGCGGTTTCAACTTTCAATACCAACACGAAGTGCAAGACCCCATAATTTCAGGGCAGTCCCACAGAATTCCAAAAAACGATTGTTTTTACTTTCAGTGTCTAGGAAAGGTGTAAAATAATTAAATAGTTCTCCTCGCGGAACATGTTAGTGTCCTGCATACTAGGGTTAGGCCAGCTTTTAGCCGAAATGGGCAAATCTCTCGTTAATTCAGTTCTCCTCATAACAAATTAATTTAGCTACCAGACATGTGATCACAACCCTGCACCGAACCGGACCGGACCGGACCGCTCTTCACATCTAAAATATCAAAAAGCACTTCCTTAACCCCTACAAATGCAGTATTCCAGTAAAGGGAAAGCTATAAATATTTGTCTTTCCAGTGATAATGTGAAATGGAAACCTAATTTAGGGCTCAGTTTGAGAGCAGGAACAACACAAATTAAAGCAGGCACGGTCTAATTAGACAACTTTTATTATAAACTAGTTGATAGTTGATTGAATTGAAGACAAACACTGAAATCTGTGGGTGAGCATATAAGTTAAGTGTTGTTTGCCACGTACTGTAGCAGAGGTGCAGTACAAGCAGGAACCTAAGGTTATAAATGGGCTCAGGTTAGAAATTTAGTGCACACAGCGGTTCCCTGTCTGATAACGATGCTAATTGTAATAACAACAAACGTTTGAGTATAAAGTCAAAACGGAGGCACTAAAACCTGCTCCCTATAACTCCCTCGTAACTCGGGTGTGTTAAGTATCCCGCTCAACATGTTTGCAAATTTTTTTCTTTTTAAAATATCTTCATCAATCAATTATATAGCATGAACACGCACAAATTCATGCATTCATCCTTTAAAAAATATAAAATTCTTTAATTTTTTTAAGATATAATTAATATATATTTTAAAATTGTTCTAAATAGATAAATAATTTTATATTTATTTTTAAATGAAATATCATATTAAATGAGAGAAAATATAAAGAATAGTTACCTAATTTTTAAAAAATTAAATTAAATTAAAAATGGTTTATATTTTGTATTGGGAAAGCATAAATTAGTGGTAAAAAAAATGAAAAGTGGAGAGAAGGGTGATAGAATTAATGAAGGTGAAGATAAGGGAAGTAGAGAGAAAAAATGAGAGTCCCCTCTTCGTAGGTGCATGTTAGTATTAATTGTATTCCCCTTTTTAGAAATTTAAAATCTCACGGACTCACCCTTCATTCACTCACTCTCCTTTAAATTATTTTCTCATGTTGTACTCCCTTCTTTCAGTGCTTCCTCTCAAGGATACATTAATTAATTTTAGTTTAAAATATAAACAATTTAATATGTTTTAAAAATATTTTTTTATTTTACCAAATATATTTATTAATTTAGATACTTATATAAATGTATCTCTCACTCATCATAAAGTACATTAATAATTGGGATTAGGGGTAAAAAATAATATAATGTTTTATGAGAATTAGGACTTCATTAATGTGCAAATTTTTTCTAAAAGCTGCTTATACTTTAGAGCAGAGGGAGTATAAGGCATCTTGAGGGTTGAATGTTAAAGTAAGACATTTTTAATATTTTAAAATGTAATAAATATATTATTTTTTAAAAATACTCTTAATAAATAAATCACTTTATATTTACTTTTCAAGTAAAACACTCTATTAAAAGCAGTAAATCATAGAAATACAATATTAGTTTGAAGATCGATTAATTATTTTATTAGAATAAAATTCAGTTAAAAATATCTTACTTTTTTAGTAGACGAAGTGTATAATATTATGTATTATCCTTTCATTAAGACATTTTTAAATAAATTCATGCATACCAATAACTTAATTAGATATATTTATAAAAAATTAAATATATTTTCTGTCAGGCATAATTAAATAATTTTATAATTTTTTTAAATAAAAATATAAAATTTTAAAAATATATTTAATTTAATATTCCATTTATAAAAATATTAAAGATGGAGAATGCATGGAAGGCACAATATTTAAAAATAATTATTGAAAAATCTTACTTTTGTCATAAGGTCTCGTATTTTAAATCATTGAATATTTTTCAAGAGTACCTTGTAAGAATATAAGGGAAAATAACACATTCATATAGTTTAAAAAAGATGGTTAAGGATAAAAAAGTGGCATCCTTGTAATTAATGAATCAAATTTGTTTAGTGAAAATTAGGGACAAGCTGGAGAAATGTGATGAATGCTTTTTAAAATTTATAGTCTTACTTATGAATAAAAAAAATAATTTTTTGGTCTTATTTATAAGAAACTAAATTATTATTGTGTTTATTTTTATCATTTTACTCTTATTAAATATTAGAAAAGTTATTAAATGCTAGTATTTTATTTTTTAAAGGGAAAATGACAGTTATGAGCCCCCTAAGGCTATTAATTACAATTAGGGACTCTAAATTTTTAAAATCTCATTAACAGATCATAGTCTTTGGTTGAAATTTTAAAAAAGCAAATAGTCTAAGATGTCCCTTAAAAGTGATTTTACTGTATTTCTAAATGACTATTATATATTTAAAAGTGTCCCTATAAAGTTTTAAAATTAAATTTTAATTTTATATTAGGAAACAATCAACTCTTAGCTATTGCTCATTGGTTTTCTAATCAAAATTAGCATTATTCTCATCCCATAGCATTGTCCATTTTTTTTTTTTTTCAAGGAATCTACCTAAATATTAACAAGCATAAAAATTCACAAATAATTGGTTTCATATTGCAGAAGTAATTTTAGTAAATTTTTAAAAGAACTATTATATATTCACAAATGTTCTTAGAAATTTTGAAAAGTGAATTATAGTTTCATAGTGAGAAACGATATATTTTCAACTATTGTTCATTGATTCTCCAACTGAAATTAGCAATGTTCTTATTCCATGATAGTAATTTCAACCATATTATTTTTTTATATTTCAAATAATCTACCCATATATATTAACAGGTATAAAAATTCACAAGTAATTGAGTTTATCTTCAAAAGTAATTTTAGTAAATTTTTAAATAATTATTATGTATTCACAAATGTTGTTGAAAATTTTCAAGTGATTTTTAGTTTTATTCTACAGCACAATTCATTCCCAACTGGTTATTGGTTTTTCAATTGAGCCTAACAATATTTACATTTTATAATAGTAATTTTAATAGTATTATTTTTTTTCATTTTTTAAATGGAGAGAAATTTTATAAACTCATGCATGTTTTTAATTTTAAACAAGGATTATAGTTTATTATTAAAATTTTAATAATTTTGGATTCTTAATTGTAATTAATGCCTTTAGGGATTTCTAATTGTGACTTTCCCTTTTTTAATACACACACATATATATTGTAAGGGTAAAGTTAAAAATAATTAACCATTTACCTCTTTATCTTATGTTTAGAATTAATAAAATTTTAAAATTTTATCCTATTTTATAACATGAAAGTGTATTTATTATCACTTCTTCTATGTCCCCCTCCCCCCTGTCTATTTTATTACTTTATTATTTTCTATATAAACTCTCAATAACTTCTCCAGAGATTATTGCTTCCATTGCTCACTCAATTTAAGAATTGAGAACCCACGGAATTCATTCACGTTATTTATTTTTAACAATTTACAATATATAATTTAACAAATACGAATAACAAAGAGGTCAAAAATCAAATCGATATAATAGATGCATTTAAATTTTAAAAAATAAAATAATATTAAGATGGGCGATAAAAAGGTAAATTCCTTGACAAGCCGGAAGGGTTAAGTGGTCAGTCACAAATCGATCGCGAAGAGGGAAGCCTGTACAAGTGTTTCAGAATAAATAAAGGCACCAAACACGAACCCAGAGGGAACGCTTAGAGCACCTCTCTCTCTCTCTCTCTGTGCCCCCTCCCTGAAACCGATAATTCATAAGCAGCCAGAGAGGTTTAATTTTAATGTCTACCCACCATCTCTGAATCCCTCTATTCTCTCTCTCTCCCCACCTCTGCCAGGAAGGCCCATTCTTATCTGTCATTTGCTCTGTGTTTGGTTCGAAAACCTCTTCCAGATATTCCGAGAGCAAGAAAAAAGAAGAAGCTCGCTTAGCTTCTTGCAGGTTGTCCTCTCTGCTTTCCTTCCTGTCCTTTTTTCCTCAGATCTATTACCTCCCTTTCCGTCTTTTCCCTCATTCCTTCAATTCGGGGAGCGCTTCAATTCAAACATGAGTCAAGAAGAGTTCTTGAAGATACAGGTGCTTCCTCTATCTCTTTCCCCACTTTTTTTTTTTTTGCCTACTGCGCTTCTCTATTTTCAGGGCCTCTGCTTTGCCATCTCAGCAATCAATGCCTCTGAAGCTTTTCTGTTTCGTAATTTTAGTTTCTCTGCCCTGTTTTGTCGCGCATTTCTGATAAAGTAACAAGCTTTATCCTATTATATAGTCTTATTTACTCACAATGAATTTATTTTCCCCACTTTTCTTCGTCTGTTTTGTTTTGGATTTGGGGATTGCTTGTGCATGCAGAAAACTTTCCTCAAAGTGAACATACACTGCGATGGGTGTAAGCACAAAGTGAAGAAAATCTTGCAGAAAATCGACGGTACCTCCATTGGCGTATACTTAAAGAAATTATGCCTGAGAAAATGTCTCGTTTTTCTACCCGAATCTTAAATCGTGTGAATATTGTTGATAGGGGTGTTTACGACGGAGATAGATGCGGAACAGGGGAAGGTGACGGTGACTGGGAATGTGGACCCTAAGGTTCTCATCAAGAAACTAGCGAAGTCAGGGAAGCATGCAGAGCCCTGGGGTGCTCCCAAATCGAACAACAGCCAGAACCAGAATCACCTCGCTAACCAGTTGAAGAACATGCAAATCGACAATGGCAAAAGCGGTGGAAACAAGGGCCAGAAAGGTGGAAACAACCAGCCCAAGGTTGGCGGCAGTGGAGGGCAGCACGGAGTACTGACTCCTCAACAGCTTCAACAGCTCCAGCAACTTCAAGGTCTTCAAGATCTGAAACTCCCTCAATTCAAGCTACCTCCGGGCCATAACCTAAACCAGAACCAGAAAGCTCTGAAGTTGGACATGCCGGATGACGCCGATTTCAGCGACGACGATGAGTATGATGACGATGCTTTGGATGGCGACGAGTTTAGCGATGATGAACTGGACGAACATCCCCTTCGCCTGAACAAGATGAAACCTCCCATGGGAAACGGCGCTGCGATGACGCTCAACGGCATGAACATGATGAATCATTCGAAGGGACCAGTTAATGGGAAAAAAGGGGGCGGCGGAGGAGCGGTGCCAATTCAAGGACACGGTATGGATGGTGGAAATGACGGCAAAATGGGAACGGAGGAAAGAAAGGCGGAGGAGGAAATAATCAGAACCAAGGCGGAGGTAACAAAAACAACGGTGGGAAAAATGGGAGCAACGGTGGCGGTGGTGGAAACAATAACAATGGAGGTAAAAAGGGTGGTGACGGTGGTGGCAAGAACGGGAAGATGGAAGGTGTTCAAGCTATGAACAGAGGTTTACAAAGCATGGGCGGCGGCGGGGATGGTAACAAGAGCATCGCCATGGGGCCGATGGGCAACATGCCGATGGGTCAAATGGGCAGCGTCCCCGCCGTTCAAGGCCTCCCGGCAGCCTCCATGAATGGCGGCGCCGGAGGATACTTCCCAGGCGGTGGTCGGGATGTTATGGCAGGAAACCCTTACAACCAAGCGCCGCCGCAGCAGCAACAGCAGCATTTGGCTGCACTGATGAACCAGCAGAGAGCGATGGTGAACGAGAGATACCAGCCTATGATGTACGCGCCACCGCCGGCGGCGGTGAACTGCATGTACCCTCCGCCGCCGTACCCTTATCCCCCTCCCCCTGACCCCTATCCGAACTATTTCAGCGACGAGAACCCTTCGAGCTGCAGCGTGATGTGAAACAAAAGGATTTGGGAGCGCGGGGAAGAAGACAGGAATATACGAAATGGAGATGAGATTTTTTAATGTTGGGTTTGTAATCTTGTTTTGTTTTTCCAATGGAAAGTTCCAATGGAAAGTTAAACGGATGAGTAGTCTATAAATATGACATACAAGGTTTGGGTGGGAGAGCGAGCGGCGGGGGAGGTCTAACACCTCATGGGAGATAATGTCTGTATATGTTGAGAAAAAGGAAATAATAATTTTTTTTTATGGTAGAAGACGCCCAAATTATATTAAGAAACTTAGTGGGGGAATTATAATTCCCAGCACACAATCAGTCTGCACTAAATTCCTCAGAAAGGGAGGAATGCAAGCAAAATAAGAAGAGAGACTGGAAGAGCATCTTTAGCGAGTAGTGATCCACAAAGTTACAGCCCGGGATGGGAGGATTAGAAAATAGTGCATTCTGCATTCTCGTCTCGGGCACTAGTAATTTTGGAGTAACTGTTTTGTGGCATTGGTAATGCTAGCAGCGATGACGATGATAATAGGAGAGCATTTGCCATGATGCCATTAATTAAACCTCTACTATTATCAGACGCAAATAAAAAAAGTAGCGATGTAAAAGTATTAGAGACCGTCAAGAATGAAGCAGGCAGTTTGACCATAAGAAAAATTCTCTAGCAGAGACTCTTGTCCAAGCGTGTTAAATATGTGAAAAGTTAGATATAAGAAGATCCATTCTAAAATTAATATTCTTAAAAGTAACATTCCTTCTCTTGTGTTCAGTAAATTATCAATGATTTTAAGCTTCAATCTAAGGTCAATTGCTTGAACAAAGAAGGCAACATGTATGAGGTTAAATGGATAATAGTGCTACTGCTTATGAGAATATTATTAGAGATGATAATAGTGCTACTGCTTATGAGAATATTATTAGAGATGATAAAGGAAATTAAATTAAAAGTTTTGTCAAAAATTTTAAATACTATTCAAGAATTGCAGCAGAACTCTTAAGAATTTTGAAAAGTCTTAAACTTTGTTAGAATGAAAATTTGTTTAAGATTAACATTCACTCTGATTTCTTAAAGGTTTTATTGCTTATCAATAATATGTATTATGATAATCACCTTTTCTCTATAATTATAAAAAATATCAAGGATTTTATTATGAGAAACTGAATAATTACTTTTAATCATATATATATATATATATATATATATATAAATTAATAAATGTATTGATCTTCTTATTCATATGATGCCCTATCATAACTTTAATATTTGTATTTTCAATAATCCGTCCTTCAAATATAATAGTCTCATAATTATAGATATGATAGGACATTGGTCTCTCGCACGAATTTCTCATGGCTTTATATTAAAAAAAAAAAGGTAATAGAGAGATTAATAAGAAAGGGGATTGACTGTGGAGGGAGCGCAAAAGGGTGGTAATTGGACGGCGTGGTTGTCGTTGAGAATCGAATGGCGGGGTCACGTGGATGCCTCGTGATGGCCGTGGATGCCATCCTCATCATGTAACGTGATCAAGATAGACGTAGCCCAACCACGACATCACAAATCTATCTGTCTATACTCTATCCAACTACTACGCCCCCCTGTCTCTATCTCCCTCTATTCCACAACATAAGTATTATAGCGGAAAATTTCACTTAAGGCTTTCAAAATAAAAATATTTATATTTAGTATTCAATAATATATGAAAACAACTACAGGCCCGGGCACCTTTCCTTTTTTTTTTTGTGTTGGATAAAAATCTTCATTTGTCTTTATCCCGACAGAATGTCCTTTCATGTACAACATGAATTTTCAATACAATAATCATAAATACACAATATATTTAATGAATATAATTTAATTCAAAATAAAATACTAAAATTTACTAACAAATAAAGAATGAATCACATAATATTCATGAATGTATGATATAATATCAATCAATTTTTAACACAATGAACATGTAGACTTGCAACATTTATATAATATAAAATTTATAATGAACAACATATGTTCATTGAAACAACATATTTTAAATTAATATTTACTAGACGTGTTGTGAATTCATAAATATTGTGTAAAACATATCATATTGAAAGGAGGATAGATACATCTTTTCATCCAAAACAAAATTTGCAAGAAAAATCATTAGATCTGCAGTGCATTTTCATATTCTGTTAGGTCCTATATATAAATTTGTGTTCTAAGAGCCGTCAGTGAAAGCATCTCAAATTTAATTCATGTTTCTGGGAAAGAAATAAAATAACTTTCTATGGAATAGGGAGAGTATTTATTGTAGTGCTTTGATGAATATTGTGTTTACTTTTATAGTTTTTTAATCTTTATCAAATGTTGTTAAACGTTAAAGTATTTTCATCTTAAATTGTGTATATTTAATAAAAATAAAGTTAAAGGCTCATTAAATTTTTATATAAAATTAATGAAAATAAATTAATGAAAGTTAAGATTTTTTTTATTTTAATAAAAATATTAGAAATGATGTATAAATAAAAATTGAGAGTATAAAGTATTAAAACACTAAATACCACAACTGAAATAGGGATATGAATTGTTTGTACATTATTGAGAGTGAGCAATGATGAACGCCAGACACATAGTGGTGTTACGCCCAGCCAGTGATTGTCAGAGTGCTCCATTTTTTTTTTTTTTAAATCCTTGTCATGATTCTTTACGTGCTCCAATTCAACCAGCGTTGACCATCCCCAGTAGCATTTTTTCCATACTGCATTTTATTTCTTCAGCATTCGTGCAATTCTTCGTCATTTTATTACCAATATATATATAGATAAACTTTTGCTTTTCTTTTAAAACTGGCATACATTTTTTGTATAAAAACCATTATATAAGTCTCTCCATATATGAATGTGCAATGATTTGTTGTTATGAAGAAAAAATGTGGAGTTTTACGCCAGTGAAAGGGATAATAGATGGTTCCGAGATTATAAATAAGATTATGGATTGTACAAAACACTTGGCTCCTAAAATCCACTAAAGAAATGCACAGTAAACCGGGGCAGTGTGGCATTGAATTTAAAGGACTTGAAATGTTTTCAAGTGTCAATTTGAGTGGGGGGAAACGGAGCACGCAGGGGAAAAGCTTTTGAGAGTGAAGTCAGCATCCCGGCCATGTCCCTCCCGTGATTAGTGCGTCACTGCATTCATTAGTTCTTGCATTTTCTTTCTCCTCCGTCACATTCTTTGAATTGCGCTCACCTGATTTTATTTATAAATTATTTTTATTAACTTTATTAATACTAATACAATAAAATATAAAAAAATAAAAATAAATAAAACTAGTAACATAACCTTCAAGTAAAACATAAAAAATAAATAAATAATATAATATTAATTTTTATCTTCCTCTCTCTTATTTTTTAGGAATAATTTAAAGATTTTAATTTAAAATAAAATAATTTCATTAATTAATAACTTATAAAATTAAATAAATTATATTTCTAGAAGGCTATTAATATATATAATCATAATATTTTCATTAAAGTGAAAGTTAACGAACACAGATACATGCGCAAGAGTAAATGCTATGCCTATGCTACTTTGTCAATTGTAGGAGCGTGACCACGGACCACTCTTTCTTCCGTTTCCCATTTCTCTTTATTTTCAAAGCAGTCTATATTTCAGCCATTTGTTTCGTCCCTTCTACATATCAGTTCATGCGCTAGCGAAGGCATCGTCCATAGGTATAATCATATTTATGTACGATCCCTTTTGTATTTTGATTTTTTTTTCTTAGCCTCCAAGCTACAAGTCTACTGCCACTGACTTACTAGCTTCTTAATGGGAGTGTGTGGAAATGTGAATGCGCACCCGCGTCCAATTTCAATCATGGTTCTGTTCTCGTATCTTCAAATCCATCACACATGTGGACTTTGTATTTTTCCAGAGAGGATGGTGACAGATTTTTGTAAAAGAATTTCTCCATCACTGAAATAATTTGCAGTAGACTAATGATATGCTTGTTGCATTTATAATAAATGAGTCGGGGATCATTTTTGTCTTTAAAACTGTGTATAAAAAATTATAAATATTTCTAAATTTAATTATAAATTAATTTGTACTTTTATTTTAAATATTTGTTCTGTTGTTACTCTAATGTTAAAAATAATTAATGTCCAATAGTTGTTAATAAATCTCATTATTTTTAATATTTTTTATTAGGTTAAAGGTTTTTTTTGTACCTCAATTTAAATATTTTATAAAAATTAAAAAATATAATACAGAGGCTACTAACGATGGAAAAACGGCAGGATAGTGATAAAAGAGATTTGTAAAGTTTAATAATTAAATTTAAAAATATTTGTAACTTTTTTGTATAGAGTTCATGAATTAAAAAATTACTCTTAATCCTGTAATAAATTCTTCCCACAAATGATCCGTCTCTGATTCATTAAAAGATCTTTAAATTATTTAAAAAGATAACTATTCCAAAAGGACATAGAAATGAAAGGTTTGAATGTAATAACGTCCGTTCATTCAGTTGAGGTGAAGTTGACCTGAACAGCAGTAACATGGATGGGTGTGGTGGCATGGCTACGGACAGGGTTGAGTGGACGACACTTTGGAGTTGGAGGACAGCCCCGCCAGAGTTACGTTATTGCGCTGGTTTTTCATAAAATCCCTCAATATGTACAAAGTGTCTGTGTGTGCTCGTACGTGCTTTTCAAGCTAGCCACCACTGTCTCCATCACCCGCACGCACGCTAATGTCTAAAAAGCTGACAAATGGCTAAAAGATTTCAAACGCTCCAAAAAGAAAAGCTGGTTTGAAGGCTATGTTCACGAGCTCAAAGCCTGGAAACTTTTATCAAGAGTGCAGAACATGCAGACCCTCAAGATTCAAGAGTCTCTTCCTCCTCTTGTCTATTTAGTCCGAGGGAATGCGAAGAAAGATTTTAACGATTTTGATTTTATTAAAAAAAAAAAAGAAGCGAAGAATATAATCTCATTTATCTATTTTTTAAAAAAATTAAATTCATTAAATTTTCCCTCTCCCTTGTTTGCCTCTCATGTCCCCAATCAAACAGGGTTAGTCTGACTTATTAAACGCACGCTACTTTAGACGTGCCGGATATTAGGGACGGAGGGAGTATTAGTTATCGCTGTTTTTTCTTTTTAATTAGTGAGTTATAATCTATAGTATTGCTTAACTTCAATTCCTAGAACAATACACACACAGGTAGGGTGGGTCTGTACACTTGAATAGAATTCACAAGATTGCGTGCG